TTACTCTTACTCAGTTGAATATCCTCCTAGTAAAAATATGCAATATCTTAGGGCATGCGTTCACATAAATTGTGATTAGTTTAACTAATATTTTATCAATTTGTAATTTTTTTTCTTAAGAAATTAGTTATAATATCTAAAAATATTAATCTATAAATTAATTTTAACCTATTAAGTAATAAATATAAGTTATTTTATCAATTATCAACTATTATTAATAGTCAAATTTAATAAAACAATTATTTTTAAAAACACTATTATGTACCATAATGTATACTATGTATGATCATAATCATATCTTACTCTTACTTTTCGAATAATTTATTGAATTTTTTAATTTAAATTTATGCTTATGAACCCAAAAGTTTAAAATTTTCAAAGTAGCTATAAAATAATTTAATTGTAAGAAATCAATGATCTTAAGAGCCACATGAAAAGTCCAAGTGATGAGCTAATTTCACCCTAATAAGAAATTGTAGAATAATTATGTACTGTTTACTCCTTAATTAGTAAATTTTTATATGGTGCCACATGTCTATATGGAGATCAAGTGACTATAAATTTTTCATAACTAATTGAAAAATATTTAATTGTCATCTGGTACATTTGAGTTTGTTTTTAATGTTGTCATGAGTAGATATAGATTATGTTTACTAGGTTGGACCTTTGACATTTTTGTTAATTAAGTCCATGAAATCTACATTTATTTTAAAAGTAAATTTAAAGGAGAAGTATTTTGTTATGTTAAAAAAAAAAAAAGAAAAAAGGAGAAGTATTTTGTTGGGTTAAAAGGAAAATCACGTGATCCAAAATGAAAAGTATAACCCCAAGTCCTCTTTTGGACTCTTGTAATTAAAGGCTTATGGATTGAAGGTAATATTTTATTGGAAGTTGAACTCTTTTCTTCTTTCTTTGGCATGAAGGAGTTGCAAACTTTTTTTTTTACAAGAGCAATGATTAGTAGGTTAGTTTTTATTAATTGTTAGCAACTGGAAATTCGATCTCCAGATCTGATGAACATCTCACCTCCCTCAATGAAGCACATGACCCATCAGGCCGCTTAGTAGAGTTCAAAGGAGTTGCAAACTTAGGATTAAATCAAAAGAGGGATTTGACTAGGTTAATTGAGAATAGTGTGGTTGATTTTTAGGAGGTTCCAACTGATAGGATCCGGATGGTTTTTGACTACAAATTTTATTTTTTGGCTAACGAACAGATCACATGATGGAGAGGATTTCAAGACTATTGGGATCTGTTTTTACCGTGGGTGATGGTGAGGATCAAGATCTGATTTTTGTTAGCAAATATAGTTATGGAGGCCTTAAGTACAAGTTTTCAACACTTCCTTCAGTTTCAACATATCTAGCCTTCACACACAAGTCAAGTTGTTTTCAAAGCTCTTTGTTCTTTTCATGCCCCAAAACTGAGAGTGAAATAGACGCCATACATTTGTGAGAGGATCTTACAAATGCATAAGGTTCGGAACTTACTTAATTCATATCTAGCAGTCCACTAACTAAGATCCAAATCTCAAAATAAAATCTAACTTAATAACTAAAGTTTAACTAGGCCAAAAGTGTACAAAAATTTAATACAACTCTATGTCCAAAAATAATTTAACTAGTGGCCTAACTCCAAAATAATCTAAGTCCAAAATAGAAATGACTAACCTTCTAGCTTGTCACTCCCCTTGGTTTCCCATGTCTTGGATCACGCTACCTGAAATGGTGGATGAGGGGAACTATATGAGATAACTCAGTTAATAAAAATATGGATAGCCTTTAATTAAAGTTACAACACACCAACAAGTGTAATCAAGTATCGAAAAAGAAAAAGAAAAAAAAACAATACAAGTACCAGAATGAAATAGACATCTCCTTTATAGGTTATGGCCAGCGTTTATAAACCTCCCTCTGGCGGGCACAATAATAACCAGTGTACTATCCCACTGGCAGGAATTACAAGACAAACTGGTTTCCAGGAATACATGTCGCCATGTGCTAGTAGTTATAAACTTCCCACTAGTAGGCATAGTAAAACTATGACCATATTGGAGACTAAACCATGTAAGAGTTATAGGAAAATCGATAATTTACAAACCAATTTTAGGTTCCTAGAACAGTTCAGTAAACGCCAAATAGGCATGCTCAAATCAATAAATGATAACAACTCCAAGTAGTTTAGTCCCGCCACCACTTCAAAAACAGTTCAAAATTATGTTTTGAAGACCTTTACCTTAAAATCCAATGGCATTTACTATAGTTTTACTTATCTCGCCTTATAGATATACAACAAGCAAAGAATTTAAGAACTCAAGGCACTTGAGGTGATTTAGAACCTATACCACATTAAATGAAAACTTAGAATATGCTTAAAACAGCTCTAAATGTCACGCTAAACAGTAGGTATTCCAAATAGATTTTTTGCGAAGAATAAGATGGAAAAATGTGAAAAACCAAGCTCAAAACCATCCTAGACACCATCAGAAATATTGGGCAGCAAAGTGGGGGTTTCTACCATTTAAAGCAATCTCAAAATACTTGGAAAAAGCCTTGAACAATAGGGATTTTCTGGGCAAAAGACAGCAGCAAAATAGTGCAGATTACAAGCCAAAACTAGGTTGAAATGGACAGCATCTAGGCAGAAAAGTAATAGCAAAAAGGGCAGCCAAAATAAAGGAATAATAAGGGGTTTTGGAGTAGAAAAAAAAAAGTAGTTAAAAGTCTAGTAAAACTATAATGCGATATGGCAGCAAATAATGTGGGAATTGAGCAAAAAACAAAACAAATTTCTAGGAAAGTTCTGGTCAAATTTGAACCTGAAGTTTCAACAAAATTTGCGCCCAAAAATTGACCGATCTGGGTTGAGTGGTCAACAAACAAATCGCTGCTGGGAATCAAGATGACCCCATATGTACCACGTCAAGAGATCCATTACACATTCCAGGAGGTCCAGTCACAAGAGCTAAAGCTAGGAAGATGCAAAAAGCTTTAAATGGCCTTGTTGCATTCTATTATTCAAAAAAACTTGAAGAATTGGGAAGCATGTTTGCCGCATGTTGAATTTGCTTATAATCGGAGCGTCCATTAAGCAACTAACTATTCACCATTTAAAGTTGTGTATGGTTTCAATCCAGTTAGCCCTTTGGATTTATTGCCATTACCCATTGATGAACGAGCTAGTTTGGATGGGAGAAAGAAAGTTGAAGTGGTTAAGCAACTACATGAGAAGGTGCGACAAAACATAGAGTGACGAACTGAGCAGTATGCAAATCAAGTCAACAAAGGGCACAAGAAAGTTGTAGCCAAGAGGCGATGGACCATTTCAAGTGATTGCAAGGATAAACGACAACGCATACAAGTTGGAGCTTCTTGGTGAGTATAATGTTAGTGCTACTTTTAATGTTTCTAATCTTTCTCCTTTTGATATAGGTGAGGATTTGAGGACAAATCCTTTTGAGGAGAGAGGGAATTGTTGACTCAATGTACTCCAAGAGGGGGGGTGAATTGGAGTTCCAAAAATTCTCCCCTTTTTGCAACCACAAAACCAAAATTAAAGAGAGTAGAGAAGAAAAGCTTGCTCAATGATTTATAGAAGTTCGGTCCAACCACTTGGAGTCTAGTCCTCTAACTTGGCTTCACTCACCAAGGATTTCCTCCACACTTTCCACTAACAACAACAAAGGTGACTTAAAGGAGCCACTCAATCCTTTTACAAGAAGAAGGGTGTTTCTCTCAAATCTCACCCCTTTACAAGATAAACCCAAACAATTCTCTCTACAAATCACTCTTGAATGAATAATCACACCCCCAAGATTACTCACAAATAGAACAAGAAGAGGATTACAAATAAAGATTTCTCAAAGATCAAAATCTCAAGTTAAAGCACAAGTTGGTAGATAAAGATATTCAATACAATGCTCTCTAAACTTCTTCAGATCTGTTACCAACCATAGTTATAGCCCTTGCTTGAAAATAGTAGTTTCTAGCCGTTGGGGGTCATTAAATGCTCTGCAAGATGCAAAGCTTGAGTTGCAGGATGGTCAGGAGAGCCGGCTTAGCTTCCTAGAGTCGGCTTTGTACAGCCGGCTCACCATTTCTACAGCCGGCTTTGCAGGATTCTGCACATTTTGTTTTCTCCGTAGAGTCGGCTCCAAAACACAAAGCCAGCTTTGCGGGTCTGCTGCACATTCTGTTTTCTTCCACAGTCAACTGCAAAAACCCTAGAGCCGGCTTTGGTATTTCGACTTTAAAAAAATATTAATTATTCTTCAAATAAGTCGTCCATTGTGCGTTAAAGGCACCCTTACAGCCAGCTGCAAAGTTAGAGCTAGCTCTACGTCTTTTCTCCATGCACACCAAACAACGGACCTTTAAATCTTGACTTGTAGAGTCGACTGCAACTTCCAAAGCCGACTCTCTGCACTTCCATTTCACAAGAGCCGACTGCAGCTTTCAAGAGCCGGCTGCAGCTTTCAAGAGTCGGCTCTCTGCACATACTCAAGCATTTCTGGTCCATTTTTAAGTGCAATCCAACTTTACTTATTTTGCAATCTTTTGACATTTTAACTACACACTTAAATGAACCAATTAGTCATTCAAATGTGTTTTGTAATCATCAAAATCATAGGTACAACAAGAATGATGGGAATCAAAATGACCCCACATGTACCACGTCAAGAGATCCATTACACATTCCAGGACGTTCAGTCACGAGAGCTAGAGCTAGGAAGATGCGAGAGCTTTAAATGGTCTTATTGAGCAGATTTGGGTTAATAACAACATATAAGAAGTAAATCGAAGCTTGGATGATTATCAAGGCATGATAAACATTATTCAGGTTCAAGAGAAGCTTAATTGAGGTCATTTATGCTAAATTACACAGTTTGTGTCAATCTTGCAATTCTGTCGCAATTTGTAACAAACTGATATTTCATATTACTTTAGGTTACTTTTAGTGATTTTCATGTTTTTTTTTTTTATATTATTTTGAGTTGAACATTTATTTATTTAAGGCCCAATTCATGGTTATTATGATTAGGGCTTAAGGTGTTAGTTTCATATTCTGATTAGAATTACTTTTCCCTATTTAAGGGGCTTGTAACCCTAATTGGGGAAGGCTATTGAATCTAAGATTTTGAGAGACTTTTCTCTTTGATTCATTTCAGAACTTTACAGAACTTATCAAGATTATTCTTGTGGCATTCTAACTTGACTTATCATTCTCGTTCTTAATCGTTCGAGGGTGTGGCGTCAACCAACTTTGTGGCGTCAACCAACTTTATACCTCTGGTTCTTGTTGCGTCATAGACAACGGGTCAAGGTTTTTACCTTTGGTTTTTGTTGCGACATAAACAACAGGTCAAGGTCCTATTATAAATCTGATTTAGCTTTCCTGAAGTTTAGAAATCCCTTGTCACACTGTGGGTCTCATTGTTCTCTTTGGGGTTCTCATCAATCACTAAATTCAATAAATAGTCTACTAATTATATGGTTTATTTTAGTTTAGTCTAGAAACAATTTTTTCTTTCAAAATGATCTATAAACTATCAATTTTGTTCAAAATGGTCTACTTAACAAA